ACAATTCCTACCGGCGTTTGGTATCATTCACTGCGCAGGACCGTCAACGCTGAGCTCAAACAGCTCCTCCGCGAGGCCTGGTAAACGCACGTGGTCACTGACATGGAGCAAGCGGTCACCTCAAGGAATTTCCAACAACTTTTCCTCCTGATCTGATCTAGTGGCGGCAAAAGGTGGACGGTAAGCGAAGTTTTGTGCGAAACCAAACAGCAGTCAACAACGTTGAGCCGAGCATTTTGAACAGCAGCTTAAGTAGTCAGCAGCACCGGCGCGTACTCACTCGGGGATCCAGTGCTGCCTTGTTTGTAGACACTTCACTACCGTCTGAGTCTGAAGTTGCTCATGGGCTTCGCTCGGATGAACTCCTTCCGGCTCTGTTCAAAGACAGAAGTCCGTTGCTAGTTCATTGGTTGAAGCTTTCCTTCTCTAAGAGCTTTGATTCCCTGAAGCAATTCCGTCGATTTGGAGTTTGGCGGATATCGTGCCCGTTTTCAAAAAGGGTGCCCGGTCAGACTGCGTTAAGCGCAGAGGATTAGTTCTGCCTGCGCTGCAACCAAAGTGCTCGCCGCTCTGCTTTTAAGGAGGCTCAGCCTGGTACGCGAAAAGTACATACGTGAAGAGCTAGCTGGGTTCCGCTCCGGAGGGAGTTGTATTGGTCACATCTTTACGTTCCGCCAAATACTCGAGCGTCGTCAAACGTTCGGCCGGCTAACGATCGTTGTCTTCTTTTATATGCGAGCCACGTTTGGCGTAGATGCCCAAGCTGCTCTATGGAGCTCTGTTGGGAAGGGGAGCGCCCGAGAACTATGCCAACATTCTTCGAGTTATGCTAGAATATCAGACCGAGTACGGGTGTATGGCGGACATTCACCCTTTTACTATCACCAGTGGCGTGAAACAGCGCTGCCTAGCATCACTCTTCCTGTTCAATTTCGTTGTGCACGACATACTGGAGAGCACTCTGGAAAACCGCGAACCCAGTGGCGTTGAGTTACTTCCAGGGGATCGATTTCGCAATTTGGAGTATACGGACGACATCAACGTAATTTGCGATTCTTTAGAGGCCGCCCAAAATGTGTGTAGGTTGAACGTGCCTGCCTCCCAGTTTGGAATGAACTCCGCCCTATCGAAGTGCAAAGTCTAACTACAGGACTGATTGGAAGCTGCTCCTACCTTTACTCTTTCAGGTCATTCCCTGGAAGTGGTATACAAGTACGTTTACCTCGAAGGCTGCATCAACGATAACGGTTTAACGGATGGGGTCTCTGCGTGCCTCTAAGGCCCGCGAGTTGCATTCGCTAATCTCCGCCATCCCGCGCCAACGCGACCTGAGTCCTTCTCTGAAGGGCCAAGTCTACAGTGACACGGTAAGGAGCCGTGCTGCTATATGGTTGCGGGACGGCCTGTTCTTGCAAAAGACGTTTAGAGGCTGTCTGATTTTGATCACCTTGCCTACGGAGCATTGCTGCTGTACGATGGCAACATCATATTAGTAACGAAGATTTTCGTCGGAATTTCCAGATAAAACAGACGTTTCGGGCCGCTGAGCTGCATAAGTTCTCTCCACAGACTTCGGTGTCTTGGGCAAGTGCTTCGCATGCTCACCGGGTGTTTACCTCGCCGTGCGCTCTTCGCGCGCGCAAAAGTCGGCTGAAAGCGAAGAAAGGGTGACAAAAGTTTTGGGCCAAAAGCGTGGCGTTGGTCTCGAATTTGGCCGCGATCGTGCGCTCTCGACTTCCTGGCTGGCGGCACAAGGACCACAAGCATACATGGCTGGAAACCATCTAGGATATGGCAAGGAACCGTGCACAATGGTGAACATGTAAGACTTTACTCCCATAACTACTGTTTACACTTCTCTCTCTACTATCGTTGTATTGTGACAATGTCAACTGTACTCATGTTCTGGACGCATCCTCGTGACGACCAATGGGTGGGAGTTCAGTTACACCCTTCTTGTAGCTAAGTTCCAGGGCACAATTCCGTGTGTCGGTTCACTGACTCATGGCACTCGGCCCGCTGCCTTTCGGGAAGAGGGCTTTGGCTGAGGATCCGAGTCAGGTGTGGACGCCTTGGCAGTACCCTAGCCCACTCCCCAATAATGAATTACGCCGATAATAATAAAGCCATGCTGCATTGGTCGTCGCGCAGTGGCACTAGGGAAAGGATCGCCTTATCTGCTGCATACAACAGGGTGGATAATCGAAAACATGCTTCTGCTGGCTCCTCCCTTCTATTTGCTTCCCCTGCACATACTCTACGTCGCGGTTTCACCTGAGCCACTACTTACTCCAATTCATGCTGTCACCACCTATGTGATTGCCCGCCAACGCAAATGTATGCCTCCGCGCAGGGCACTCAACATTGGGCACTGGAACGTGCGCGCTTTCCTCGACCGAAATATGAGTGAGCGTCCAGAGCGACGCACTGCACTGGCCGAGTTAGAACTGGCGCGCTACATCGGTACTGCGGCGCTCAGCATAAGCCGGCTCGCTCAGCAAGGTATGTTGCATGAAGCTGGTGCTGGCTACACGTTATATTTGGTGGGCAATGCCACCTCAGTAGCACGTGAACATGGGGTTGGATTTGCAATATCCGATCGCCTAAATGGACAGCTAGTGGGTGAGCCCATTGGCATCAGCGCGCGACTGATGACTGTTCGCCTACGACTCGGAAGAGGTAAGTTTGACAGTTTTATAAGCACGTGCGGCCTGACTATGAGTTATCTGGATGACACGCGTGATGAGTTCTACACCCAGCTATCCTCCGTGGTACGGTCTGTGCCGAGGAGCGGCCGACTATTTCTGCCGGGTGATTTCAACGCGCGCGTTGAGCGTGATGCATCAGTGTAGACAGATGGTATCGATCCGCATGACATTGGTTCAGCAAATGCGAACAGTGACAAGCTGCTTTCACTGTGTGCCACTCACGGCCTGACGATCACAAACACTCGGTTTGCACTGAGTACGAGTGATATAGCAACTTGGACACACCCACGGAGTGGTCACGCTCACCTGCTCGACTATGTCATCAGCGTGAACTTGCGTGACCTGCGTGAAGTGCGCAAGACAGGTGTACTACGCGGAGCTGAGTGTGACACTGATCACAAATTGGTGCGGACCAAACTGTAATATATTTTCCCTAGTCTATTTATTGCGCTCCTGATTTGAATCGGCGTAAAGTTAACATTCACTCCCTCAGTACTGTGGAGAAGACGATGAAGTTAGGGAAAGCGATGGATGCACGCCTGCGTGATGTGGAATGCATAGCCACAGTTGGTGACCATCATCAACAACAGCAGTACATCCGCCATTTGAACTGATCTTTGCTGCCATACAACCATGATGACCTATGGTATAAAGAATAAGAAGAGAGGAAGAATTACCTGAAAACCTTAGTGCCCTAAACAAGCATTCAGGGTCAAGGCGCTTACACGCCGTGTAAACAACATACCGTCACAAACAGCAGGCTATCACGGCATCGGCGAGGCGGCTTTCTTGCGGTTTTCACTGCCACGCGTCATCATGAGCCATTACCCCGCAGATAACTCAGCACCAAACACACTTTAAACAGGCAATCCGATTAGGAGACGGCAGCAGACGCGCCACTGATGTAGGTTGCGAGCCATGTCCTGTAAAGTCTCGAGCCAAGCACAAGGCGAGTCACTTGGACTCTAGCCCGTGAAGTGAGACGGACCAACGGCACCCAGTTTGGTCGTCAGTAACTTCATTTCCCGCTGCCAAGTCAACTTCTGTCCACCACGAGCCTTGCGCTACCCTACACCTGGCAGACTAAACAAGGTTCTCCTAGGTAAGCGGTGACAAGGCATACGTAGCACGTGCCAAAGACAACGCAACTTATTCGGTGCTATCTGTTGTTTTAGGGAGCTAGCATGATTATCACTACCTAGCACTCGCCTACGCACATCATCGTTGCGAACACGCTGGTTCCATCCGACACCAGCAATGCTTCGCAGATAACGATGATCAAAGACCTGATGGAGAAATCGGACAACCCTGACGAACGCCACTTATTGTCGGAAAGCTATCCGACAAGTCACCGTAGACCCTGATGGGGCCTGTAGTGTTCAAGTATAGAGCACGTAGGACGTTCACATATTTCGTGAGAACACCTTTCCGCGCATGTATTTCGTACAGAATGGATCGATCGTCTGAATCGAACGCACTCTTGTAATCGAGGAACACAGGTATTTTCAGTGTGCGGAAAGTCTGGCGCTGCTCTAACACCTGCCACAGAGTGAATATACGATAGTTGTCGACCCATGGCACTACATTTGTGACCAGGTGACAGCTGCTACCAAGTATACAATGGGGCGTGCAAACTGTAAGCGGCCCGATTGCTTTGATGAGGACAATTCGATAATTGGCGCATCAGTGTCTGAGAAGAATGCGTTTGCTGCATATGTGCCGGTGCTGACGGGATCCCGCCCGAAGCATTGAAACATGGCGGACCCGCGTTGGTATATGCGCTACACCGGTCGGTGCAACGCGTGTGGATTAAACTCGTAGGGTTTACTGTTGCTTCCACCCGGATCATAGTGTACTACAAACTCAACGATGACATTCTCAGGTAATTTAGGTTAAGATTTATTCTACTGTTTAATCTGTGGCAGCGATAACTGTTAAACGGAAGAAATAGCCATGCTGACATGGTAGTATGCATGCTTTGATGTAGTTTCTAATGTCGGATCAACGGTGTACACTGTCAGCAGCATCCAAATCGCAATGCATATGCAGGACACGTTAAATAAGGTGAAAGTGCGAAAAATTCTCTAAAGGAACTATAGGTTCAGTCCAACGAGAACTACGTCAATGGGACGATGAACGCGCGAATGACAGCATATAAGTCGCTAATTTTAGTGGGGTTGTGTGAACAAGATTAAAGACTAACAATACGGAACGTACCAGACATGATGGATGCGAACTTATGAAGTGCACGCAGGCAATCAAGTGTGCGCGTTAATCGGAATGCTCACTTACCTAAACAAGGTCTGCGACATGGAGGACAGCGCAATCAAGATAGACCCAAGTATGATATAGGCCGGGGAAGAATTCTTCCTCAGCAACAACCAAAGTGTGTTAAAAAGAACAAAGGTAAGAACCTTGGAGTTATTTTAAATGAAAGAACGTACTAGCTCCAGGTTTGCTTGGAAACTCAGACACAAATAACGCCATTCAAACTCCAAGCCTCTCGTGCCAACCCAGATTGGAACATACCTGTCAGCAGAGGTAAGTAAGTTCATTCGCGTTATACTTGGATGATAACAGCATGGCTACGGACCACCCCATGCCGGCCGTTAAGACGTTGAATTCACTTCTTGAAGAGTGTTGCACAATGAAGAAAACCACCACTAAATCAATCAAAGCGCCGGGTAGATCCTAACTTTGTAAATAAAACGAAGAGACGTACAAATATGAGTATGCTAGTTACAAGAGACGGATCCGAGTGGTAGGGGACTAGAGTAGCAATAAAAAGCTTCAGTATCTGTGTTAAACCGTAGAAAATCATGATTTTGGCACACTTCCAAAAAGAATCGTTATCTTTCCTGCAATGGTGAATTTTTAACCGATATCTTACATGCCGGTGGCTCTGTATACTAGCAAATACGGTCCAGATGACAGGAGAAGACAGTTGAAGAGGTGGAAGAGACCCATCGCACACCTATGCTAACAACTACACTGCTGAAGGTCAGGCCAGGTCAGTTTCCAAGGACGAAAGTATGTTGCCACCAAAACAGGATCCCCAGTACTTCAACTTCTGAAGAACAGGTTTGTTCAACAATGTTTCCAAAATATATAGTAGTCTGTCAAGTCGAGGTTGGAAGTATAGTTTTTTGGGAGGTAAAACAACAGCTGTCTGACGTGTGATTTGATTAAGACACTTGTAATAAGTTCAAGTGGGACTGGACCGATAGGATGAATCCCGTAAGTATTCCTTCTTGAGCGGGTCGTCGATCCAGGAGTTGGTCGAGGTGCTCCGACTTCTTGATGGGTCTAAAAGGAAAACACCCGGGTTCACCAATTTAATGCCAACGTTCCTTACATTAGCTGTCCCAGCTATGTCATTTACGTGAAGTAAGTAAGATAGGAAGAACCAGCGAAGGTAAGAGAGTAAGGGAAATCACAACTGATTAGTGTTCATGATGTCATTCCTACCTGACGTTAGGCCATACTTTGTATTATTCATGCTATTAAGTGGATATTCCTGGTCGCATTCGCAAGTGTAAATAGTTGCCTTAACTCCTGCCAATGTCCCCTTATAGTCAACTTAGCTTTGTCTACATCTATCCGGATACATACTATTTAGATGTTATGGTTTCGTCTGCTCACGTGCGCCTGCGTCTCTTGTTATCTGGGCTATATAACTGCCGTTTTGCGGACGTCCATGTTTCCATTGGAAGAGTGAACTTTCGAAGCGCTGTTGACTGAGTAACACTTCTTCGGCGCAATTATCAGGCTCAGTTGAAGTTCAGGTAAGAATGGGATGATTATGGACTTTTGCAAGTGTTTCTTTATGTTCGGTAAGTGGAGCCTAGAGTTGATAATATGCTCCGGGTGCTTGATGGATCAAAACGGAACACCCGAATCCCAATTTGTCAATCGATTACTGCTCACGGTTTTTGCACTAGCAGTCCCTGCTCTGCCAGTTACCTGAACTAAACAAAATATAGGAAGACAACATAAGAGTAAAAGGTAAAGAAAGCTGTTTACATAAATAAGATTATACGAACGGTGATGGAAACCACAAAAATTATTATCACGGTTTAAAGCTACGAAAGTTTCATGTTGCCACCTATCAATGTCTAGCTGACCTTCAAATCACACAGACTCATATTTCCCATAACACTTACTGGAAGCGAGTTCAAGTGCTTGAAAATTTGGCGGCTTTCCGCCAGAATCTGGACGAGCGCGTTTTGTCCAACTTCACCAAAGCCGGGAAGTGAATCCATGGGAATGCTTTAATATATTTGCCCTTAGGCCGCAAATAACGTCTTGGTATTCTGTGACTGCAGTGTCTGAAAAATTTATTAAACTTGACGCTGAAACGTTTAAGCGTCAATAATCCTACAGCGATTACTTAGCGAGCGACTATTCGGTCAGTACTAATTTGTGCAGAGAGCAAAATTGTATGACAGTTACGATATAAATAGGGGTAAATAAATACCTAAACGGTTCATGTATCGACAGAGCGAGGTACTGTCTAACTAGGTGGTCTGCCTAATCTGTACCGCGAGACGGCATAAGATAGTTACTTTTGCATGTTCTGTACAACTGATCCCAAAACGTTTGTTGAAGTGCTTGGCAGCTTGAATGTATCAGAGAGAATAATAGACTTGGAAAAATACATGACGCAGATTTATCCAAAAGTTTAAGTAAACTAATGCGGCGATCCATTGCACCATCCTCAGGGAACCAGGTTCCATGTAGGGTAGGTCCTCAATGGGTTTCGCCCGCATTTCCATGTTCCAACTGGTTGCTTACTGATGTGACATTATAGCATGTAAGTAATCACCTGCACCACAAAAGTTATTTATACGGCTGTTTTTTGCACGCATTATGGACGAGGAAGCCACAGCTCGTTCCGATCTGCCGGTAATTCCAGTATGGCAATAATTTGTTTTGCGCCAGTGAGGCAATAGAAGTATACCATTCATGGGTATATTGTTTATCTTAAAAGCTGGAAGCTGTAACCACAGGAATGCAACACAATTGTGGTCAACGAAACTAGGAAGAATATAAAGTAGGATGAATAAAATGCATAACACTAATAACTACCTTTACTAAGTAAACTAATCACAATTTCCTAGGAAGTCTCACCGACTATCGACAATTGTACATACATTTCCTGACTAAGAATGGTTGCATTCCGGTGACGGTTTTGTAAGGAACAATGAGCATTAAAGATAACCCAAATGCAGTTTATAGTGGCTTTGCAGTTCCTGGTGATTTCTCCCAAAAGACGAGCAAGTTGAACCATCAGCAATAGAAGACGAATAGTTCAAATGTTTCAGACAATCAATTGCGAAGTAAATATACCCTCTCTACCGATCAATGGAAATGAATAAGAAATATGGGTTGTGTGGATAAGTACAGAATATCAACATAGAGCATGTTTCGCTTGATATTGGAAATGAGATGGAGCGAATATTGTACTCACGTTGCGTGACTAGAGCTCATCCGATCCGCTCTCCCATCACTCATATTTCGATATGTGTTACCTATTGCCAACTTAGGGAACTGTTCTGTGGCATTTGATAGTAGTCTTGTTTGATCTTATTGTTAGAGGCAACATGTTTCATGTGTCTACCTATCCGTAGATGCAGTATTTATAGCGTATGCCACGGCAGATAGCCGGCAGAATAAGTGAATTTGGCTTGTTTGCGCAAATGTTAACGTGCGTCCTCCGCCAGTCGAAACCATCGTTTAAGCTTTATGCCCAGCTCTTTACTAATATTGAATAGCATCCTAAGTTTGTTCATTAATCCTCTCAGCCATAGCGGGCCTATTCCCCGTTATTTGCAACAGCCACAGTAGTTTAACGTGGATGGCGTTCATATACGTTTAGCGAAGGAACACTGTACCATGTGAAGTTTACCTCTGTCACTCTTGCGTGAGTTTATAAGGATCATGGTTCAGCTTTCGAGAATTGGCCTTATGCTTAAGTTTTAGAACCTAAGCCGCGAATTCAATGGGAAATGTATTTGAAGATATAGCCATTGTTGCTTTGGTTTAGCTATTCTATAGCTCATTTCTACCATAAATATAATGAAACAAGGGTAGTTCACACCAAGCCAGAAAAGGAGTACCTGGTGACTAGCGAAGCCCCATCGAAAGTGTAGTGTTAGAAGGTACAGTTCAAAGGTAAGGAAAAATGCTTCCTTTTCCTGGTAAGACGTTAAGCTTCCACACCGTAGACGAGCTTACAAAACGATAAGGTCGCTTTGTATGTGTCATATTCAGTAATGGACAATACCACCAGGTCATCGTCGAATAGGCATGTTTTGCTTTAGCAGAACGTATGGAGGACATCACTAACGTAAAGCAAATTCAACAGAGAGCCCAGGACTCATCATTAGCAGAACCCAACTGTGACGAATTTACGCAAGGAGGTGCTGCCCGTGCATGGTCATGATAAAATAGATGCGCGTGATTGATAAAATTTACAATTTAACCAGTACATGCTGTAATTAGGGGACCACAAGCCTGTCTTGTAATCGGAATGTGTGGGTACAAGCATACGTAGGGACAGTGCGACCCTCACCACATGCTTAGCCGCTGCCCGGTGGTCGCAGACCTAGCAGGGTACTTTAAAGATGGTGACGTTGGTTGATTGGTCGGACGGGAGTGAAACAATTGACCTCTGAACCCTGACATTCCAATCTGGTGTAACCTTAAAACTGTGTTTTAGTGTGCTAAAAAGCAACCAACCGTTTCCTGCCGATTCGAATGCTTGGTAATACGGTTAACGGGAAAGTCTGAAAGGAGGTCGGCGGAAAAATTTGAACTTTTTTGGTGGCTACGGGTACATCTATTAGTGGGCTGAAAGAAATTGCGTTCATAGTACTAAGAATAGGTAATATAAATTAAGATGAATCGTTTAATAGTACTGCATGACTTATGATGTGTTAACATTATACTGAGTCAAAGTGCTTAAAAGATGTAAGGTCGTGATGGTGGCGGAAAATCAACCGATAGGAATGGGCTAAAATGACGTTTAGTAAATGTGGCAATAAATTTCCGTCGGAAATCGTTGTAAATGTTACGTACTTATATACGGAAACTGTCTGTAGATTAGAAACGGAAAAGACTTATAACAATGCATCAAGTGAAAGGTTACGAAAACCACACGGAATGCTAATTGGAGGACAGATGTACATGGGCGACATGAAATGGAACATTTGTAGGCAATTTAATGATATTACGTAATGGTAATGAACGAAGTTGCGTAAATAGTAAATGTGTAACTTACTGAATGTGGTTTGAAGGGAACGTTCAATGAAGTTGTGACTTCTTGAATCTGCAGAAATAAGAAATAGAGAACTATGATTAGAAAGACATCACTGTGTGCATGTTTAATGACATACGGGAAGACGTGCAGCAATGTGATAATGAATAATAGCTGGCTAACATCTGTTGCTATAATAATGCGCTAATAAATGGTTGCTATGAAATGAGGATGCACAGAATGGGGTTTGTTGTTTGGGTCAGTGAAGATGAATAATCACAATAAATAGAGTGGTTAACGTATGTTTACTCGCTTCCCAAGCTTAATGCAAATAAGATTATGTTTGTAATCGCTAATTTGTCGGCTTACATGTAGAAGGGGTAAAATGAGAAGGCGTATATATATATATATATTTATATGTATATATGTATATATGCATATCTATATATAAATGTAGGGCTTTTACAATTACCGTTACACATATATCATTGAAGGTAACCGCATACCTACAAATGTTTCTTCGCATCGACCTACGGAAGCACGTAAGGCAACACTGACACTAATATATATATATATATATATATGTATATATACATATATATATATATATATATATATATATATATATTAGTGTCGGCGTCGCATTACGTGCTTCGTTAGGTCCAAGCGAAGAAACATTTGTGGGTATGCGGTCTCCTGTAATCGTAATTGTGGAACGGTAATTGTGGAAGCCGTACATAAAAAGCTCTATAA